ATAACTATCAGATACATCGCTGGTGCTGACAGATGGCAAGCATTTGCTAGCCTTGAGCTTGCCTTGCTTGCCGCGAGCTCCGGACACAAACATTGCATGTAAGTAAGCTCAGAGTCGGAGTGAGGAAGATGTCGGATCTGGTGTCATTTCCTTGGCGGTTTATCTCTCTCAAGACTTCCTCTGAATGGCCAATTACCTATCCGATAATTCGTTTCGCGAAGCAACATCTCGTGTCCGTAGCTCGTTCTCAGTGGGAAGAAGAAGGTCAACCGGCGAAAAGGTAATTGATCAGCCCTATCCTGGCGTGGGATCCCACCACGACACCATTCACCTTCTCTCCTCCGTTCTGATTACGCCCCCCTCTTCCACATTCCGCCCAATTTCCATCGGGTTGAATCGAATTTACCGTTGACATCCACAACTGACCATTGAGCAACCCGGAACTCTCGCCCGTCATCATCAATTCGTTGTCCAACCGCTCATCGTTTGTCTCTGCCACCCAAGCGCTTGGCTTTCGAGGCTTTATCTTTGGGTTGCCGATGACAAGACCTCGAACGACGACCCCTGAGGACGCGGATCGAAACCAGCCTGTGTTTCACCAAACGACCCCAGATCCCTCCCCCGCAGCAGCTGTAGCGTGTCGCTCATCGCCCCCCACGAGTATCGAGCCTTAACCGCTGTTCGTCTGAAGAGAGGTGACCCCAGCCAGTAATAGAGGCAGCCGGAGGAGAAACTCGACAGAAAGACTCGAGGGAGGAGACTGCGCGTCCCTCAACCCTCTTTCGCAGCTATTCGTCTCTGGCCTGCGATTGCTGGTCGAGAACGGGATAGCGTTGCACGCCAGGACTGGCCGGACATACAGACAGCGTCTGACAGCCTCTATCAAAGCAGCCATCGGCAGCACCCTAGCATCAAGCCATAAGCGAATCCAGCTCTCCAGCTTGCGAGGAGTATCCGTACGGCGACCTGGGTTGACTTGTGCACAGCCCCAAGGAAGCCCCTCCAAGGAACCCAGACCTAGACCCAGTCGCCCAGCGCTGCATCCGCTTCTGCAGGTTGGGTAGCCAATCCGAACCAATCCATCTGTTCTTCTGCCTGTTGCTCTGGTGGTGGTGCTTCCTTTGGCGGGCACCTGCACACGTAGGTTAGATTGAACTTGGATGAGAAGTGGACAGACAGGGTCTCGCAGACGCAGAACCGCAGGCGCAGGCGCAGGCGCGCAAAAAATAGGAACAGGGACCAGCAGGACGGGCTGATCAATCTCTCGTCTTGCCATCCTCTTGCTTCCCTTTCTTGCTTGCCGCTGGTTGCTAGCTGTCATTGCTTCTGCCACTGCATCTCGACCTTGCACATCGACGGACAGACAAGATTCGAACCGACATTTGACTGAGCCAAGCTGAGCTGAAGCGAAGCCTGTCCCGCTACGTTGCTGCGTACCCCCGGAAGCAAGCAAGCAAAGCTGCGCGTTCGGTCCACCATCCGGTCTTGTGTATCTGTCCGTCTCTGCTTTCTCTCATTTTCAGTCTGTTCAGTCAGTCAACCCAAGGGCTGTGCCGTTTGGCATACCTAGGACGATCGATCTGCTTGCTACCCTCTTTACCCGCAGTGTTCTAGTGGAGGGCAAGCGTCCCAAACAAGCAACAAGGGAACAAGAAAAAAGGCCAATAAACAAAAAAAAAGAAGCCAGGTTGGACTGCGGCGGCTGCGCACCACGACATCACAGTGTTATAATGCCGGCCTTCGGTCGCATTGGAAGGCACCACAACCGCTCGCAGCAAGCACTTGTTGATCCGGGCGGAGAGGTTGCTGCTGGATCTGGCTCAGGCTCAGGTTCAGGTTTAGGAGGTTCAGCGGCATCGCATCCCACGCCTGGTCCTTCCGGCCCTGCTGGTGCCGCCGGTGCTCCTTCCTCCTCATCTCACTCTCACTCCTCCTCCCTCGCTCCTGCCTTGAGTGCAGGCTCTGGCACAACCACGGCCAACAACGCCGCCGGCGCTAATAGTCTCAATCAAATTACCCCCCATTCAGCCTCGTCGACCGCCTTCAGCTCCAGCGAATCCTTTGACATCCACCCAAACCAGCTGGCAGCTCATCAACAACATCAGCTCCAACAACAACAGCAGCAGCAACAACTCCTTCAACAACAACACCAGCAAGGGCAGCAAGGGCCATCTCCACTGCAACAGCCCCACGATTACCATCCTCCTGCCTCAACCTCGCGCAACTCCCTCCTGTTGCAGCACCACAATCCACCCATAGCTGATTTGCGCCAGAGGAGTCAGCAGGATTACACCGACTCCGTCTCCCGCTCCCAGTCACAGCGCTACCCGCCCGGCGTGGCCCCCTACTCCAATAACGCCAAAACCGGTGCTGCATCTAGCTCCGTCGACAACCTCAGAACTTCCGTCAACAGCACCTCATCTGCTCCCGCCTCCGCTCAAACTCAAGCAACCTCACCTCTTCCGCAACAGCAACCCGCCCCCGTCCCCGAAAAGCGATCTGCACGAAAGCTGCTCAGGAACATTTTGGGCGGATCGGGCCGCGATCATCACAACACCCCGCCCCCCCAACCTACCCCGCCAAGTTCCTACGATAACACCGGTGGTCTTGCTCGCCGACCGTCCAAAAGAGTGAGCAACCCACCACCCGCAAGAATTACTTTGTCCCCGCAGCCGTCTCAGCAGTCCTTGGACCAACAATCTGTCGACTGGCCGCTTACGGCACCTCATCAACAACCTTCTTCCTTACAGGGCGTCGGCGAGACCGAGCATCACCAATTTGCACAAGACCCTAACAGAGACCCTCGTCTACAGAACCCCGATTCCAATCGCAACTCCATTCGCTACGTCCCGACCGACTTCGACAATACCCCCTACGAAGAAGCCGACTACGGAGATCGCCAGCCACAGCAGATCCCGACCGTACAGGAACAGCACCAACACGGTCAGCAGCCTGCTTACGACCCCTCACAGCAGCAGTACCAGCAACAATACTCCAACCAGCAGCCTGGTCAGTACCAAGCTGGACCACCCACGATCTATACTAGTCACTTGGGTGCCGGTTCGCATCAAAACCCCGAGACTGTTTCCCAGTTGTCGCATGAATCACCCATCACTGATTCAGACGCTCTGTCGGCAAACGTACATTCCAGCCAAACCTCCCCCGCAGTGAGGTACGCCGTACAGACCACAGACAGCCCGCTGCCACCAACACTTCCCCCTGCCCAGCAAGGAGGACCTCAAGCCCAGCAGCAGCAGTCGCAGCAGCAGAATATGGCCCCTCCCTCTGGCGGCCCTCCCCCGAACAGACGATCCCAAGAGACAGAGAAGGCATTGCGCAGTCAGGTCGACGCATCTGCAGGCCCTCCCGGTTACAGACAAAGCCAGACCATGCCTCCCACCACTGGCAGCGCCAACGCTGCCTTCCGACCAGGCGGTGCTGCAGACTCGCGGCAGTTTGAAGGCGCCACCGGAGAGCAAGGCCGGAACAGCCCACAGCCCTCCAACCCCGATCGCGACGGCACAGATCCCGACAAATTCAAGGAGCTTCGTAAGGAGGACATGATTGCTGTGTTGGAAGTGTGCTAACAAATCACAGTAACTAAGTATAAGAATGTTAAGCGGTTGTACTTTGACGGCAAGACCCAGATCGATAACCTCAACTCTCAAATTGAGGTGCTGCAAAATGCAGTCGCCAACCAGCGAATGTCACAGTCGCGGACTGCCCTCGACGACAGCGAGTATATAACGAGATTCAGCCGTCTGAATGGTGCTATCAACAATCTGTCATTCAATATCAGAAAAGATTGGCGTACAGTACCGCAGTGGTTAGACATGTTCGTCAGCATTGATGCTCTTAAGACCGGAAAACAGGAGATGACAGCCGTTGGTCGTGCCGTCATTACTAGGTGGATTGTAGAAGAGATCTTCAACAAGTGCTTCCATCCCGGCCTCAACTTCGAGCTCAGCCGGCAGCTGAAGGAGATTGAGCTCAACATCCGCCGTTTCTCGTACACGATGAGCAGCCAAGAAGAGTTCGATGCATTGACAAATAAGGTCGTGAGCTGGCGAATGGCTACCCTTGAGGGTCTGCAGAGAGTTCTCAACTCCCCGGAGAGTGCAGACAACAGGGCGGACTTTACTCGGATGTGCACATCGAACCTCACGGCGACACTTTTCCAGTACATGACAGACCCGCCGCCAGCTGGAGTGGACGGCAGCGCGTCCATGATTGTTGAATTGGCCGTTGGCATCGCAGCCAACCTGCCGCTAGAGAGCAGAGATGTCGCAATTAACTATCCCCTACCTGGAGACCCAATTCAACTGAACATCATGGATGTCGAGAAGACGCCGCTTCCACCTTTGGAAATTCAAAAAGCGGAGGGCGAAGCAGAGGCCGATGAAGGCGATAAGGACAAGAGCGGCAAGAACCAACGGGCGGACAAGACCAAGAGCGGTATGTTCACAAATATACTCAGCGGTGGACCGCAGGCGGGCCGCAAGGGCAGCACTGCGTCGTCAATCGTTGGCACAAGTACTGATACCGCCCTTCCTTCAGCTCTTCCCCCTAAGGACAACAGCACGGTGAGACTTGCGGGCTTCCCGGTAGTGGAAGTTCGTGGTCGCCAGGTTCTTGTCAAGGCGACTGTTTGGGCACTTTGAGCGTGTTCAAGATAAGCCGAGTGCGAAGAAAGATGCTTTGGTTACCTGGCGGCAGTCCATGTAGATGAGCGGTATATCCAATCGAATTTGCTGCGTTACGAGCATGGAAAGAGGTCTAGACTGGTTGAAGAGTCTTGGCCAGAAGGAAGGGGACAGGAGTCAACCATCAACAATGCGGATGGAAAGGGGCGGAATTCATGACTGAAGATTCACATTCATACCAGAAGGAACACTTGGATGTCTGCTCTCTACTGAAAACGGAGAGCCTAGATAGTCTCCAGGGTACCTTCACAAGTTGCTTGCTTTCTTGCCGTTTCTCACAACCATCCCATTCCTGATTCACGAACGTGTACTGCCCAGATAGCCGCAACGCACCTCAGGCTTGCGGCTGGAATCCCCTTTTGGCTCAATCAGGACACACGATGCGCCGTCGAAGGGACACTGGGGGCTAATGTTAGCTCGTGCGACTGGAGGTCTTTTCGCACCCGTGACGTCAAGGTAGGTGACTGACTCTGTTGTAGTCCGCCGGGCAGACCTGGGCATCTCGCCCTGTCAAGTTACATTTGTTGCTCATCTGCGTACAAGTCTATTTCATATCGTCATCAGCCACTAAAGAACGACTTGACGATAGGTTTGCTCGCGTCGTTTTACGAAAGACTTACTCCTCTGGTTCTGGTCTCTTCCTGGCCCGGAGTCTGTCGCGCTCCAAGATGAACCTGCCGGCGGTCGATATGGTGTGCCGCAGCAACGGCGCCGCTTGCGCTGAGAGCTAGGAAGAGGAAGAGGGCGAAGCTGAGGAGGAGGTGAAACTTATACATTATGGCTCCCGTTTCTATTCGATAGATGGCAGGAGTCTGTCAGGTTGTCGATTAATGATTATCCTATTCGATTCGTGATAGAGCGAGCATCGAGAGCTGACTCTAATTAACTGATTTTGGAAGGCAAAAGAAGTCACCAGTATGAGTCTGGCGATACGCCAAAGAAAGGAGGAGAACGAGTGGATGAAGAAAAAGAGGGCGACGGGTTGTTACGGTGTCAGCGTGCGCTGTGTGTCTGTATATGAACGAACCTCACGACACCAGACGAAACGTCACCTTTCTCCTCTCTCCCCCCTTCCCCAAACCCCCTCCTCTCTTGTCAGCAGGGCGCGGTCGTGCTCTTTGCACAATAAAACATTTGAGACGAAAAGTATCACAACGAGCAAACACATGGGTGGCGATGTCGTCGCCTGGTGTAGGAGGTACTTGGGTCACCAGGCAAATGGGTTTAGTAAAACACAGACCCCTCTCTCTGCTCCCATCCAGAGAAGTCATCACTTACCAGCTGTGCGTTATTTCTCAGCTTATATGTAATCTGTGCTTCTCTACTCCCTCGACGGACGTGGGTACCATTGCCATCGAAACGGTTTTGCATTTCCTCGCTGCGAAAGTATTTGCAGGCATGGGAGACTGAGACTGAGAGGAGGAGGGAGAGAGGCTCGTGTGGGTGCAGTAGCTTGTCTGGTGTATGTTCTACCATTGGCACCGCACCAACTATTTTGGAAACGTCAATGCTCCCGCTGTCCTATCTCTGTACTTCTACCCTCTGGTCTCATTTTTGAGAAAGCAGAGACAGGTCAAAACTAGGTACCTATCCCCAAGAGCCGGGTGACATGTAACCAATTTCATCAATCCACCAAATGCAAGCCAGTCGTCTTCCTCCTCCTATCCCATCAAATTCTACCCCGCAGCTTGCTCAGAACCGCCATCTGGATTTGGGTTCTTGCTCTCCCAAAACCCATCCTACCAACCAATGTCGAGCTGCCAGATGCCATAACCTTTGGCCCTACAGCAACTTTCCAACTCAACCCCTCCATTGCCAGGGCAAGGATCCCTAGCACCTCTGAGCCAAAAGCAATACAGAGACCAGGCAAAGAAGTGGGGGTGTGTCCCACCCGCCAGCCAAAAGACCCTCACCGCCTTCCACTCCGGGTCGACAACGGCACAACACCCCGCCAAACTTCTTTTCGCGATGGCATCAAATTCGGATCTAGAGTGTCGGGTTGAAGGATAGCTGATCATTGTCCATTTTCTCGGCACAAAGAACTCGTCCTTTTACCAAGCCATCATACTACTTCCCGAACTCCGGTTCTGACAACAACGGCACCCAAAATGGCATCTACCCCAGCACACCTGGAGCCCTCCAAGCTCGGGACAAAAGAATAGTTCGTCACTCAATTCATTGCCCCTCCACGCCACGAGTGAATGACATACCCCTTTCGCTCAACACCCAACCCCCTTAAATCACCAAGGGCATTCCCCAACTAACAGGTCCACTGAAACAGCTGGGCATCCCTCTACACAACCGAACTCACAAACAACGCTCAGAACCCTGAAGACCGCGGCACAGTCTGGTTCGACGACTCGGACGCCGAGTCAAAGCTACTGACCTACCTCGAGGACCTCACCGAGTCCGCCCCCTTCGACCACTCCCTCCGCCAAGCCGACGCCACCTTCCTCGACCTCGGCTGCGGCAACGGCTCCCTCCTCTTCGCCCTCCGCGACGAGGGCTGGGCCGGCCGCGCCCTCGGCGTCGACTACGCCCCGCAGAGCGTCGAGCTGGCGCGCCGCATCGCGGCGCAGAGACAGCAAGCTGCCGCCAAGGAGGATGAGGACATGTCCGACGCACCCGCCGGGGACGAAGACGACGAGGCAGACGCCAGAGAGCCAGAATTCGAAGAGTGGGATGTCCTAAACGGACCCTGGGAAACCGTGCTCAACGGGTCCCAAAAAGACGGTTGGGACGTCGTCCTCGACAAGGGCACCTTTGACGCAATCTGCCTCAGCGACGAAAAGGACGCGCAAGGCAGGCGCATCTGCGAGGGATATAGAGGCCGCGCGCTCCGCCTCGTCAAGCCCGGCGGCCTGCTTCTCATCACGAGCTGTAACTGGACAGAGGAGGAGCTCAGGAAGTGGTTCGAGGGCCCTTCGAATGAGGGAGATGCGGGCAAGTTTGTTGCTGTGGGCAAGGTGGATTATCCTAGCTTCACTTTTGGCGGGGCCAAAGGCCAGACTATCAGCAGTTTGTGCTTCCAGAGGCAGGCATAGCTAAGGTAGAGCATCATGCAACGAGTTAGACGAATGACAAGACCTTCAAGATACCCCGCAAAAGAACGTCGGTCACGACGGTACTAGATAACATTCTTCGTTATTGCATCTCGTTTCTCTGACGGCTGCTGGTGTATCATACAATGTGTTTCTTTAATGGGGGAATGTCAGGCAACGTCACCTATACTCCACCATGCACGTCCTCCATTGTGCCCCATCTATGGTCGCTTCCATGCCCCTGGAGATATCTCTCCTAACGTTAACCACCAGTGAAAACCTCGCCTCTCTCTGTCTAGTTAGTCTTCTTCTTTTTCTGTAAAGCCTGACAGGGGAACCGGAGTAGCACCCAGCACCATGTAGCGTTTGGTCGAAGCATGCAAGGTAAGAGTCTTGGGACGGTCCTGATAAAAAGATTGGGAATTGCTTCATTACGTCTCTCATCTATGGTGATGTATTCATAGGTTCGCCAGAAGAAGGTCCAGACACTTGGTTCGCAGACGTTGTCGCAAAGTACCGCACGTCGACGTCGTCGTCCTTCTGCAGCTTCTCGAGCTTAGGAATGACGCGTGTTTGGATCAGTTCCATGCCTCTGGGAGACGCGGTGAAGCTGCCACCCTCCTTCTCCAGGGAGTAAATCGTGCCTTCTTCAGGCAAACGGCGGAGGACGTCAATCAGAACGCCATATGTCTTGGCGACGTTGAAGCGAATGTTGGGGATCTCATCGTCAACGAGCTTGTCCAACATGGGCAGGATCTTGTCAGCAATGACATCAAGGCTCACAACAGAAGCAAGGGTCTGAAATCATTAGCATCTCTGGTACCATAGAGGTGAAGACCTCAACTTACGGTGATGGCAAAGGCGGTTGTCATTCGGTAGAGGTAGTTGGGGTGGTTGCCCATGGCCATAACCTTGGGAATGATCGCCTCGCTCGCCCACTCGACTCCAAAGACCTCTGTAAGCTTCTTCAGGTTGTGCGTCGCCGCCTCGCGGATCGAGAAGACGGTATCGCCCAACCAGCTCATGCAGAGGTTGCTCAGCTTCTCATCGAAGAACTTAACTCCAAGCTGGCTGGCAAGAAGAGGAATGTACTCGATGATGGCCAGTCTCACACGCCACTGCTTGTCCTCAGCAAGCTGCACAATGGCGGGTAAAAGAGACTGGGAGAGCAAGTCGATTCCGATGACTGCAGAGGGGTTAGTAAGATGCTTTTGTTTCAGAAGCTAGCACATACCCTGGTTGACGAGTTCAAGCTTGGAAATAATGTGGAGGCGAACTTCGGGGAACTCGTCCTTCAGCATTTGCAAGAACATGGGCAGAAGGTGGTCGATAGTTCTGTGACGAATTAGTCGCTTGTGGCGGAAGTGTAGCCTTCATAGAACCTACTCTTGCTTTCCCAAGATGGGTGCGAGACCGCTGATCTGGGTACCGAGAGCAGCTCTGACATGCTGGGAGGTGTCGGAAACGAGATCCTCCACGCTGCTCATGATATCATTCAGAAGGACAGTGCGGTCCACAAGCGCACAGAATCCTGGTATTTGTCCAGCAATCGCAGTCCGGACTTCTGCCTCGTTGTCCTTGAGGAGCTTCACGAAAGATGGCACCAGATCCCTTGAAACGACCTCCTCATCGACAGCCTTGGAAATCTGTTTGCGCATTAGCGTGGCCCTCCCTACGAGCGTATTCATTCCTGCCAACCTTCTCGAATCTGTCTGCAATCATGTACCGAACCCTCCAGCTCTTGTCCTCGATCAGGTTTCGCAGAGAAGTGAGGAGAACGCCGTGACTCGACTGCTGCTCCTTGGGTACGACCTCGGCGATGGAAATGAGGATCTCGACGGTAAGTAGGCGGACGCTGTCCTGGTCGTCCTGGGCGAGGTGCTGGAAAAGGGGTATCATCTCTTCGACAACGATAGCGGCCGGCATCTCCTTGACGAACTTTGCCAGGTTGGTGGCAGCCTGGCGTCTGACCATGGGTGTCTCATCGTGGACAAGCTGTCCAAACTGCTTTCGGAGATCTTCTTGAATGCCCGGGGACACCTTCTTGTAGGGCGATGTGTAGAGACCGCAGCCAGACACCTTGGAGGTGAACCAGTCTGCTTTTGAAAGTCGGATGGTCAAGGGGATGAAGTATTCTTCGACTTGCTGGGAGGACAGCTCCTCGCAGATCTTGTTGAGGGACTCGACGGCCTGCTTTGATTAGGCGATGTGACTGGTGGGTGGAGCAGGGGGCAATAGCTACCTTGTCCCGCACGACGGGTTCCTCGATGGCAGCGAGGTTCTCGAGGGGGGAGAGGAGGACATGGCCCCATTGGGCGCCTCCGACATACTCGATGAAGTTGCCCAGCTCGCCGCTGAGAGCGACTAGCACCTCATCCTCGTCCTCAACGGACTCTGGTTGAAAGTTTAGATATTGGCTCACATAGGGATGGATGCGCAAGACATACCGTCGAGGAAGGGAATCAATTCCTCACGCGTGCGCTCGGCGCCTAGGGCGAGGGCGATGGTGGAGAGGCGGTGAATGGCATTGAGACGCAGGAGGACATCGTCGTGCTGGATCGCGAAAGGGTTAGCAATGTGTTGTGCGCTGGCGGCTGAAGGCTGACGTCGGAGTTGGGCTAGACAGGCAGAGTCACCGCCATACCTTTAGCTCGTCGATGAGGACGGCGATGGGGTAGAGCTCGTCCTGGGTATTCGGCGCGTCTGCCATGGCGAGCGAGGTTGCGCAGGCGCGTTTATCGATGGGAGGGTCGGATGATGTTCAGGAGAGTCGACGTCGTGGTTGTGAGCGATCGGAGTGGATCGCGTGCGGGTGATGCAATGGGTTGGTTGAGGGCGAGCGGCGGTCGTTGTGGGATTGGGGGGGCTCTAAAATCTGAGACGACGCAACCAGGATAGTGGTATGGCAGATGTTATCAGGAGGTTGCGAGCATGCAGACCATGCCAACGATCCGACGTCAGGTTGGCGAAAGGCACAGCTAGTTGTCGTGGTGAAGTTCGTGTGGCAGTGGTGGAGGAGAGCGTGGCCGGGTGTTGATTTGAGATAGATAGTGGAAGCACGAGGCATGGGAAGGGAAGTTTGACGTGCTGTTTCTGAGGTTCGTCTTTCGCTTCTGCTCCAGGTGCTGTCCCACCCGACCAGAAATGGGCTACCTTACCGCACCTAAATTATCAGCTGCGGTGGCCACCTTAGTCGTTCGGTGATGGGCAACAGCATTTCTAGGCGCCTACGAGAGCCTGTATCTGTGACCGCCTCGGGCAAGGTCTGACAGAGGGAAGGTACGTACCCGTAACTTCTTGGTGGTGGATGTCGTAAGGCAGGGGTGCAGGAGCCAGGAGGAGGTGCTCTTTCCTTTCTTCTGGTGAGGGGCTGCTGCTTGTCGTTTGCTGCCGCATCTTCGTAGCAGCTGAAAAGCGGACTTGCAGCACAGGTTCGGTACTAACTGACGTATCGCTCCTCCAACGTCCTCACGTTCCTTGGAATTTTCTATGCCCTCTATAGCTAACACAATAAGCACCATAGGTAGCACTTCTAACTACCTTGTGCTTGAGACATGCCAACTTTCAAGTCCAGCTTCATACCTTCTTGGCCTGGTGAGATGTCTCCCAGGTGACCGGCCGAGGAGGGGTCATCAGCCTGCAGCTAAGCTACCTGATCATAGGTAGGTACTTAGTATGCACTACCTTCATGGAGGGGAGGGGTTATGGGACAGCTACATCATATTTAACGTTGTCCCGAGTCTGGGTATTCGGAAACGCATGAATGTGATTGAGGCAATGAATCGGAATCCAGCATTTTCTGCTCCGCGCGCATTTTGGCCAGCACCTAGGTAAGGTGGTGAGATACCTTACCGTACCTTTAGTCACCGCCGTGGGTAGCTACGAGCTGTCAGTGAGGCATCTGCCAAACTTTCCCGTTACCAGCAAACAGCTCAGGTGTCCCTGCCACCTTCCACCAGCGGCGAAGCATGTCGTGGCTGGAATATGCGCACGGCTGTGTGCACTGGCCGCCAGCTGTCGATGGGCCTGCACCGAAGAGGAATATGTTGATTTATGGCTTCCATTTCTCCTGCCTGCGCTGGGTTGCGTTGTGCTGCGCTGCTACCCGTCCCGGTGTCGGTTGACACGGACCACTCTCTGACATCGGACCCTGGAAAATTGAGATGCCGAGTGCGACCGCTGCTTTTGCTGCCCCTCAACCCCGCAGCCCCTCCAATGGCTGCGATGAAGTCGAAATGACTCCCACTGACCTCTTAAAGCAGCAACTTCATCCCGCCCCGGCGAACCTTCCATGCGTGCATGCAGTTGCTTCACCTCCGAGTATCCCCAAAATTTCTGTGACTCAAGGCTATATTGGAGACGGAAATTGACCATTGCTTGAATCCTCTCTTGCCCCTGACGCCAGACAGACCTCTGCACCCTCGAGAGACTCTCGCCAATTCTCACCATGCCTACCATATCCGTCAACAAGTACGATCTGTACAAGGCCCTAGGCCAAAAGTGAGTTGCGCCGTGCTGGCACCGTTCGCCCCGATCTAGACATCTTGACCCCGCCATCCCTATACTGCCTCTTGCTGATCGTCGCCCGCACAGCTTCACCACCCAAGAGTTCGAAGACTTGTGCTTCGAATTCGGTATCGAGCTCGACGAGGACACCGAGAATGACGACCGACCGATTGTCAATGGCGTGCAGGAGCCGCCCCAGCTGAAGATCGAGATCCCCGCCAACCGATACGACATGCTGTGCTTCGAGGGTATCGCACTCATGCTCAACATCTTCAGAGAGAAGGTTGCGGCACCCAACTACAAGGTCGTAGAACCCAAGAACCCCGAAGCCTCCGTCATTACCGTCGCCCAGGACACCAGCAAAATCCGACCCCTCGTTGCTGGTGCCATTCTTAGAAACATCAAGTTCACCCAAGAGAGCTACGACTCCTTCATCGGCCTCCAGGACAAGCTGCACATGAACTTGGCGAGACAGAGAACATTGGTGGCCATCGGAACTCACGACCTCGACACGATAGAAGGCCCCTTCACATACGAGGCCCTGCCGGCCAAGGACATCAAGTTCAAGCCCCTGAACCAGACCAAGGAGATGGACGGCGAGGAGCTGATGCAGTTCTACGAGAGTGACAAGCATCTCGGCAGGTACCTGCACATTATCAAGGACTCTCCCGTCTACCCCGTCATCTACGACAAGAACCGGACTGTCTGCTCGCTGCCGCCCATCATCAACGGCGACCACTCTAAGATCACCGTCAACACCAAGAACGTCTTCATCGAGATGACAGCAACGGACGCCACCAAGCTCGATATTGTCTGCGACATGATGGTTACAATGTTCTCGCAGTACTGCTCCGAGCCCTTCACCGTTGAGCCCGTCAAGATCGTTTCCGAGCACAACGGCGCATCAAGAACGACACCAACCCTCGCCCCCCGCACGATCGATGTTGAGATTGACTACCTCAACGCTTGCACTGGCCTTAGCGAAACACCCGAGAAGATGTGCCAGCTCCTGAACAAGATGGCGTACATCGCCAAGCCCTCCGACAAGGACAGCAACCTTCTCAGCGTGTCAATCCCTGTCACCCGTGCCGATGTGCTCCACCAATGCGACGTCATGGAGGACCTGGCTATCTGCTACGGCTACAACAACCTCCCTAGGTCTTCTCCCAACAAGAGCGCTACCATTGGAGCGCCTCTCATGATCAATAAGCTCGCTGATATTGTGCGGACAGAGGCCGCCATGTCTGGCTGGAGCGAAGTAATGCCTCTGATTCTGTGCAGTCACGACGAGAACTTCGGCTGGCTGAACCGCAAGGATGACGGCAAGACTGCTGTCAAGCTTGCCAACCCCAAGACTGCCGAGTACCAGGTTGTGCGGACATCCCTGGTCCCTGGTCTTCTCAAGACCATCCGCGAGAACAAGAAGCACAGCGTCCCCATCAAGATCTTTGAGTCAGCTGACGTCGTCTTCAAGGACGAGTCTCTGGAGCGCAAGGCTCGCAATGAGCGCCACTTCGCTGCTGCCTGGTATGGTAAGACCAGTGGTTTCGAGGTTGTTCACGGTCTTCTGGACCGTGTTCTCTTGATGCTCCGTACAGCTTTCCTCACTCATGACGAGGGACTGAAGGCAGGCAAGAGCGTTGACTTCAAGGTCGTTGAGAACCCCAGCAAGCCTGACGGCTACTGGATCGAGGAGATTGACGAGGCCACTTTCTTCGCTGGCCACGCGGCTGCCATCTACCTGCGTCTGGGTGGCAAGGAGGCGCGCATCGGCGAGTTCGGCATCTTGCACCCTACTGTGTTGGAGAAGTTTGACTTGAGGTAAAATTAAACAGCCCCCCTCCCTCTTTCCCTCTCTAATTACGGTAAATGACCATTGGATGCTAACGTTGACGACAGATACCCTGTGAGCACCCTCGAGATCAACCTCGAGGTCTTCTTGTAGTTGATGAAGCATGATGGGATACGGACATGATCAATGGCTTCGGATAGTTTTCTAAAAACGTAAAAAAAGGCTTTGCTAGACGTAAGGCGGTCGGATATAGACTTTGTTCTTTACACTAGGCGAGCTAGATGAGGCAACGGGCACCCAAGAATAACAAAAAAAGATCAAACAAAAAGAGAAACCCGTCGTGACCTACCTACTGAGTGCCGAGGGTAGGTTTCTTACAAGCCATGATAGTTTGATATGCCGCACGCGCCTGGCGACCGCTGCATGTTATCGCGCACATCATTATGGGAGCAAAGGTTAACTTAAGACTGATTAGAATTATGGAATCGAGAGTACACAGGAGTTCGAAAATCCAAGTGGATCTATACGACGGACCCCAAAGCCTCTCCACCTCTCTCCCATCTCTCGTCTCTCGTTTTCTGTCTTGCTCTCGTGTCTCCCTGTGCGTATGTCCATTCACGCAAACTTTTCTCTTGCCCCCCCTGCCCTTCCAAACCGCGTTGCTGCTGTATGAACGAATCCGTTTCATCCCCTGATCCCGATTTGAACCCTCCCTCTACCAGTCTTGAACGCAATCATACCTCTTGGACGCCGGAAAACAGAGCAAGGTGAAGAAGAATTGCTGTGTATCCAGCACGACGAACGTCGAGAGAAAAAGGGGTGAATGCGTCAAAAAAAGAAAAAAAAGAAGCAAAAAGTCGTAATACTTGTACAAAACTCCGGCTCGCTGTCATGAAGAGCCGTAAATCAGTTCGTCCCCTCCAAGGCAAACGTGTTGGAATTGCGTTCGCTGAGAGACCCCATTTCTTTCGTGCCCTTCGTAGTTGTGCGGTGAAAATGCAGCAAGTACATGCTAAACTCCTGAAATGTTGAACTAGGAAGTCTTCTGCGGCTAGTGGCTGGGAGTCACAGATCCGCCGTTCTCGGCAGACACGGCCTCCGTGCTCGTGTTCACCAAAACGAAGTTGCCAACGTCGGCAACATCCCCCGTCGAGACACTATCGAGAGAATGAACCGAGGACGCGTCGGAACCGGCGTCAAGGTCGGTTGACGCATCTCCAGTGACACAGACGCCATCGTCATCATCATCATCGCGGGCGATATTGTCAGCGCAAGTATCTCCATGAGGGGTGTCCTCGGCCAAGCCATCGGTCAAGTTTGACCAGTCGTTGCTCAAGTTGGCGACGTTGGCGGCGGCTTTAGTACCCCATTCCCAGATTGTTGAATCGCCCCAGTTGCTCAACGTATAAGTTGAGTCAGCCCAATTCTCCTGGTAAAAGAGCTCGGCGTCGAGTTTCATTGTAGCACTAGTCACCTCGACGGTATACGGCGCGTCGTGCATTCGTTCGAACATGACGCCCTATGTCATCTCCCGGAGCTCTTGCTCGCTGCGACTTGTAACCCTCGAAGTGGAAGCAGGACTGGCGTTACGTCCGGCCAGATTGTTCAGCATTCCGCTGACGTTTTTGCCAATGTTCAAGCCAGCGATTCCATCTCTTACTGCACTGAAGGCATTGGAGTTCTCGGCCGACACACTTCGACGGAGAACCGGGGCCTGTCGCTCTTGATAATTGGGCGTCAAAGTAGTGTGCGTGTTCTCTACACCTCCCAGAACCGACTGGCTGGTAGGGAGAGAAGGCGGCTTGGGGCTTGCGGTGGATTGGGGCGGGGTACCAGGCTGGCTATTCGCGTAAGAATCCTCCGTAGTTGGGTGCAGTTCGTTCATGGCTGTAGCTCTGTTGGCTGCAGCGGTCGCTACGGCGTTGAGGTGCGAATTCATCTCCTCGTCGGTCCGATTGAAGAGTTGGTGCCACCAGCGGATGTTGGTCATATCTGGCACTATGATACGGCTGCGGCCCTTAACATACTCATCGAAGGTCGGATCATAGTCCTTGTTGGTAAACTCTGGCTTGCGGGACAAGAAGTAGTCCCAGACCGAAGAAGTGCGCTCAGAGGCACGAGCCTCGTGTCTCTGTTTCTCGGAGTTGTAGAGGAAGGTGCCATATTGACAGGAGTAGAGATGATAGATCAGTCGACGAAGGAATCTCTCATTGAACTCAAACTTGGTCGGGTTCTGGCGGAGAAGCTGATAGACGCAGTCCACAAATTGGTGGAACACAGGGCTGACCATCTTAGGAACAGTAGCCTCGTCTTTTGCGACTTTTCCGGTAGAGCCTTCGGTAATGGCATCGAGTTCAGCCTTGTCCTCCTTGCTGGGATTGAACAGCTGCCTGGCACCAGTGAAGACATTCTGGAAGGCATCTGCGCGGCCGTCATTCTCTCCAGGCTGGATGGTTGAGCCTGCCATCGAGTCGTTCTGGACCTTGAAGTTGTCCTCGTGGTTCAAGTGGCCACATCGAAGCCTAAACATATGGCCAAAGGCAAGCCAGTCCTTCTCGACAAGAACAATGAACCCTTCGATAGTTCGGAAGAAAGGGTCCAGCATGATCTGTGCAAGAGCACTAAGCTGACTGGTCCGGTCCCAGCCATCGGAGCAGTGAATGAGGACGTGCGACTGCTTCAACCATACTTGCTTGGCGACAATATCGGCTCCATTCAAAACAGCTTGCGTGTGTTTCAGCCAGTTGGTGGCAGCCAACGCGTTCTGGTCAGGAGACAAAGGAGACAGGTCGGCATCCTTGAGACAAAGCATAACACTCTCCAACGACTTCCTCATCACATGGATGTTCTCAATGTTCATGAAGGCTTTCTTGGCACCTGGGTAGCGGTCCATGGGCTCTGAGCCCATTCCTCCAATCTGATTGACCATGGCATTCACAGTAGGTCTGGCGTCGACAATCATGTTGGCTTGTTGGGCACCATAGATGAGGCGTTTGCCGTTTTCATCAAACATCTTGGGCTCATCGTCTGCGACAATCTGCTCAGAGAGCTCTCCATCTGTGGACGACTTTTCAGAGATATCTGACTGGCTCAGGCGAGGAGGCTGGTCTTGATCAATGCTGCTTCGGGGCATGATAGGCGCAAATGAAGCCAAGACCAGCTTCTCGTCCTGCACATTGTTCTTCCTGGTAATGCCTGAAAGAGGTTGCGAGCTGCGGGTAATAGTGCAGTTGTTGTCTGCGTGGATGTAACTCAGGGCGGGAATTCTGTGTCTGGAACGATACTCCTTGGCGTATTTCAAAACGTTGTCTGAGATGCAAGAGGGAACCACCAGAACGGCGGGATAAGTGTCGCAGAAAGTATAGTCCTTGTTGATGTTTGTGATTCTCCATCCTTTGTCTGACGACTTTTCGCTAATGCCCTGGCGCCGGAACTCGGCTTTGGGGTCGTAGATGCTCCAGCCATTGATCTGTCGCTCGGCCTTGGAGGGCTTGTGACTGAAAGCAAAGAGCCTCTCGATGGTGCCTAGTTTGCAAGTTCTGAGCTTCACAAACTCAAAGACGTCTCGAGCAACGTTATTGTCCTCAAAGTTGAAAGTGACAAAGATGAAGTCGCGACAGCGGATGCGGATAGAGCTGTGAATGCCATGAGTAGGAGGCATGAGTCGGAGTATGCACTGCGATAGAATAGGATAGGTGATCCATGATTCTCGAGGTTTTGGGGGAGGTTTATCGGCTTGGTCGGCGGTTTGGTTCTTGGGAGGTGGTGGCGGCGCGCAGAAGACAAGGTGGAAATCGGTCAAGCGCAAGGTACCGACCGAGGTGAGTCCTCCGTTGATGCACTGGACGTTTTCGACTACCTGTATTTTTGCAATCACGACATGGTCAGTTTTTTCCGTTTCATGCCATATTGTGTGAGAAGATTCAGTCTGTGAAAAACGCGCATGGCTTACCTTCCTAGCCTCCATGGTGAAGTGCAATGTGGAAGATGATGCTTTTTTGAGCTACTAGAGCATGGCCGCGCGCAAATGCGGAAGGCCCGGGAGGTAAGTGTTTGCAGGTGGATAAATTCACTGGAAGAAGAGCAGCAGAAAAGCTGCGCAACTTCAGTGAGGGTAGAAAGGTTGAATAGGGAAAAGAAGAGACCAAAGAAAAATCAATGCAACCACACGATGTTGGAGGTCGGAGGGTTGGGCTGGGTAAGGTTTGGAGGCAAGGTCAGGTAACGTGGGGAGGGACGGTTGCGGTTGTCAGGTCGGAGGTCGGCTGTCTGGGGTTGATTTTGCTGCTGCGCAGTCGCAAAGAGCAGGAGCAGCAGGAAGAGAAGGAACGGCTGATCCACACCATCTACCTGGTCCCTTAGCTTAGCGCGGGGCTGAGAACAGAGAGCCGACGTCACGGCTTTCAGTGTCAGTGCTTGAGTGCTCTCTTCCAAATCAGCAAAGTTGGGTGATGTAGCCTTTTTCATAGAAACTAAACTGCGCTTCCGAGAAGTTGAACTCTTCTACGATTATTGACTACCCATCAGATGCCATATGATAATCATTAGATAAAGTTCATCTGGTGAATTCTTTACCAGAAGGCAAGGCAGCTTGGTACTGAATCGCATGTTGATCTGGATCCAGAGCATCAAATGTCACCCACCTGACGCTCTCAGCTCCCCTGTGACCGTCACCGTCGTGGCCAGCACGCTGCAAGCCTGCAACCCAACAGGGGACCTCCAAATTCCCGCGACTGTGGTCCCCACCAAGCCAAAGCTGGCCCCTTGAAACCCCACTACCGGCCGACGGAGCTCTCTCTCCCGATGTCCCGATGATCAGCCAGCCAGCACGTGCAAAGAGCACTCGAATGGGGTACGTATCGATTTTGCTGACCAGGGCGGGCAGACAACCTAAGGAGGAAAATGCACTTTACGCCTGGCAGGTCACCACAGCTGGCAAGTGGGGTCCTCTGCCAGCGACCTGGCGCGTCTCGATAAGAATAGAGCACAGACCACAAAAGGCCAAAGGTTTCCCCTTATCGCCCGCCTCTCTAGGGCACACAGAATTTGCTCAATTTTTACAGCGCAAAATCGATCCGGGGCACTGACGATTGGGCAAGTGTGGACTACTCGAACAACCTCACTTCTCAACCTTCCGCCCCTCCGCCGAACGAAACCGTCGACACTCCAACAATTCGTCCAACTATCCCCCCCTTTCGACAAACTCGGGCAAACGAAAGTCAAGATGGCTGTTCCAGGCACTCAGATGTAAGAATCGTCCTTCCTCTGTTTCCAATGGTGGCTTTGCCTTTGCAACATTTCCTCGAGATCCCTCCTCCCCGCCTATCGACCAAATTTCGCCAATCTCGAATTTCCCCTGGTGGATGAAATGCTCTCGGGGATGGAAATGTTGCGAAGGAACACAAGATGAACATTTGGAGGAACAGTCTTTGCTGACGATTCGTCTTTTCCCCCCAATTTAGCTCCAAGCGCAGAAAGTTCGTCGCCGATGGCGTCTTCTACGCTGAGCTCAACGAGTTCTTCCAGCGCGAGCTGGCCGAGGAGGGCTACTCCGGCGTCGAGGTCCGCGTCACCCCCACGGTAACCGACATCATCATCCGCGCCACCCACACCCAGGAGGTTCTCGGCGAGCAGGGCCGCCGCATCCGCGAGCTCACCTCGCTCATCCAGAAGCGCTTCAAGTTCCCCGAGAACTCCGTCTCCCTCTACGCCGCCAAGGTCCAGAACCGCGGTCTCTCCGCCGTCGCCCAGTGCGAGTCCCTCCGCTACAAGCTCCTTAACGGTCTCGCCGTCCGCCGCGCCTGCTACGGTGTCCTCCGCTTCATCATGGAGTCCGGCGCCAAGGGTTGCGAGGTCGTCGTCTCCGGCAAGCTCCGCGCCGCCCGCGCCAAGTCCATGAAGTTCACCGACGGCTTCATGATCCACTCTGGTCAGCCCGCCAAGGACTTCATCGACCACGCCACCCGCCACGTCCTCCTCCGCCAGGGTGTTCTCGGCATCAAGGTCAAGATCATGCGCGGCTCCGACCCCGAGGGCAAGGCCGGCCCCCAGAAGACCCTCCCCGACGCCGTCTCCATCCTTGAGCCCAAGGAGGAGCAGTCCGTCGTCCAGCCCATGTCCCAGGACTACGGCGCTAAGGCCGCCCAGGCCCAGGCCGCCGCTGAGGCGCAACAAGCGGAGCAGCAGCCCGAGGCTGGCGAGGAGGCTGAGGCTCAGTCGTAGGAGACTGGCGAGCTGCAGGTTTCTTTCGAGCAGGCTGACTCTTCCAGCCCCGCCGGTTGGTAAACACACAAAAGGGGACTGGAGAACTGTTCAGCGTGAAGCGGGGATTTTTCGAGTCTGCTTCTCTTTGTCGCACGCTTCTGTCTTCTAGTTCACTCTAGTTTTCTTCCAATACCAGACTAGGGGAATACAAAAAACGGGGTATTTCGCGCGAAAAGACCAGCAAAAATGGGAGGACGGGGGTGGAATAACTACTCAGGCGTCTTGATCAACATTTGCATTACTCTGCGAAAGGGAATTCGGATAGTTGCGACTGGCTTGTAATGGTAGAACAAACCATGAAATGAGCAACGAAATCATTCAAAAGTAAATTGCATGCCCAAGACGTGACGCCATCTATAATCCACCGGCTATGATCAGAGGTCCTGCCGTCGAAGTCATGAGCCATCTCACTCTTGCGTCTTCGTTGATTAGCACAGCAGTCCAAGCCGTTTCTACTCGCCCATCCTGTCACTTTGTCGCTAGATGATGGTGGTTTGTAGTCGATCCATGATGCTCCATTCGCGAGGCTCTAGGCCTCAGCCTACGTCTATGGTTTTTGAAATGCTTTGGAGAGTAAACAGAAGATGCCAGTCTCCAGGCGAACCAGGGTATGCTTCTCACTCTCTCTCTCTCTCGCCCTCATACACCTCTCCCCCATTCGCCTTGCCCTTAATCGTACAACAAGAGGTGCTTTCCGCACGCCCAGTATCCATTGGAAACCCCGATAAACGCCCCTCAAGTAGTGATCCCTCCCGTTGCCCAGTGAATACTCCTCGTGCCGTGGCAGAAGTGAAATAGTATGGGGAAAAGCTCGATTCTGGGTTTTCCCTTTGGTGCTTGTCCCCCTCCCTCACTCGGGACGCGCGCCTTGTTCCGTGGGTCTTTGCCTCTTTCATGAATCCGATCATGTCGTGGAAAACTTCTCAGTCATTTGACTTTCGCGAAAATGTACAATGCTGCCCCCATTCGGGCCCCTGGTAAGAAATGCTTCGAAGAAAAAAGACAATCACCGCCTCGGTGTTGGCCGATAGCTAGAAAACAGACGGTTCATCCTCCAGGTCCCTCATCTATCGGACCTCTGGTTCTGAAGCTCGATTGTCTCATTGTATGTTTTCGAATGGCCGTTGGCGGACCCGTTGGCTCTGTGGCGGTCATTGTCGTCGTCACTCTCATCGGCCAGATCGGTCAGACCGAATTCGGCACCAGCCTCCTCATCGTAGGCCCTCATCAACCCTGTTGTATCGCCGTGACGGCTGCCAATGCTCATCCGGTGGGGGTCTCCACTCCGGCGTGCCTGCATACTCAAACGAGTCTGAATTGTAGAGATCATGTCCGTGCCGGTGGCATCGTCGCCGCCGCGGCCTGCAACATACTTGTGTCCGTTCGGGTCAGATCTCGACAGGTTCAACAAGTAGACGCCGGTGAAAGTGACCAGGAAACCGCAGAGAAGGGATATCGTGTTGACCGTGTCGGTTGTATTGAAACCGCCGAAAAGGATGAAGGAGGCGCATAGGGTCATCGTCGTGAAGGTAACGTAGTAGAGGGGGTTGACACTACATGGTCCTCGATTAGCGCTATTTGGCAATCACAGGCTCGGCGTTCTTTGACTTACATGTTGGTGGGGAACTGAGCAAGAGCCTTGTTGAAGTAGTTCATCTGCGTCAGAATGCAAACGGTGGTGAGGATCATGAAAACGTAAGTCGAAGGGTGGCTGAACTGATTGTTTCCGGCGAATGTGAGCTTGAGGGCGATTCCAAAGGCCTTGACAGACATGACCGAGACTGATCCAACAGTTGAGCAAATGGAGAGATAGATGATCGGATTCTTCTTTCCGTGGAGCGGCGCAACTCTGTAAATCATGACCACTGCGAAGACGGTAACAGTGAAGGCATACAACAAAAAGCCTGACAAAGGGATTAGTCCTCAGGCGCATTATTATGCAGAATTATTGACATACCCGGCTGAATGGCGTAGTGCAGGATCTGGTCAACAGTCTGGATATCTTCATCTGGGGGCGCATGCAGCACAATGATGACGGCGCCGATTAGACAGATTGCACTGCCCAAGCGACCCAGAACTCCAAGCTCCTCCTTCAGGAAGTATGAACCCAGAACGGCACCGATCAGGACAGAGAGAGCTCCAAGAGGTGTAACGAGAATGGCTGGCGCGAATGCATAGGCAGCAAAATTGCAGATTTCTCCAACGACCACTACCCATGTGTTAGCCGCTTCGTCGCCTTTCGTCGAGGTCCTAATGCAGACTCACAAGTTGAGATACCAGCCCACCAAACCGGGCTCTTCAAATATACGAATCCGTCACCCTCAAAGCCATGACGTTCTTCTGCTTGCATAAGACCCTATAGCCATAGGTTAGCTCCCATACAGTGTAGGACTAATTGTAAGTAGTGCCAAGGGCAACTCGAGCGATCAGGAACCGCGCGTACCTTTTTCGTAACCACGAAACTAATACCTGTGAAACGAGCATTGTCAGCGATGTAGCCTACGAGAAACTGTGGGAAAGGAATGCATACCAATGGCTAAACTGGATGCCATGGCGAGGCCTAGGCCAATGTATCTGCGCGGGTGGTCTGTCAGCGATTTCGAGTTCCGAGGCCAGGTGGACGTATGGGCAGGGTCTGGAGGGCAACCAAAAGGCCGACCGAGTCGCAAACGTACTTCTCGTCCAACATCATCTTGCCAAAAAATGAGCGCGTCGACTGCGACGGACAGCGAAAAGAGCGTCGGTGGTGATTAGAGGTGTGCGCCGAGGCAAGTGCGGTCGCTGTAGAGAGTGTCGTGTCCCGTGAAGGGGAGCTTGCGAGGCTCGCGCCGGGCGAGGTAGAGAGAGATTTGGAGTGGTAGGTCGAACCTCGTCAGCAGCGACACATGGAAATCTGGAACCCGGGTGACTCTAGGTAGTCGGGGAGTTGTAATTGAGAAGAGATAGAGAGAGGAGATGGGCGTTCGTGATGGATCGTGGCCGTTCGTCGTCGAGTTCGAGTGGAGGGGATTCGAAATTGAGTCGAGGGAGTCGTCGTGGTCTTGGTGTCACTGAGAGGTGTGTCGGGGTCGGGGATGGTTGGTTGGCGCAAATGGAAGGCCGAAAGGGGAGGGAGAGTGTTTCGTGGGATTTTGCAGATAAAACTGTGAGAGTGGTACGTAGCGTGACAGGTACCTCTCGAGGGTTCTCGAGGTGCGGCAATACCGCAAGGCGAGGCGATGCAGAGGCAAACAAGGTATTGGCGGTAACGGGATGGCAAGGTACCTTTGCTGCATCGGTCGATAAGTGAGGTACGTCAGGTATCCGTCCAGTGCTCCGTATCTTGGTGTCGAGAGTATGTGTAGACAGGTACCTTTTCTTAGGTAAGGCAAGCAAGTAGTGGGATCTTGGGAATACTGAGGTGCAGGAAAAAGGTGGTCTTGTCTGACTTCCCGGTGGGTAGGTGCGTGTCGAGGAATGCCAGCCAGCCAGATAGGGACAGGTTTGAGTTTCAGAGGCCCCTGGGAAGGGTTGAAGAGGTGCCCTGCAGCGAAATGTGAAGCAGGACAGGTCACCTAGGTATCTGATCCATACAGACAGAGGTGTTTGGTATTGCTATGCCTCCAATCACTTTTGTCCATTACCTTAGGTGACCCAGGTATCTCCTGTTGGGCAAACCTGGGTTGGCAGATTAGAGCATACGCGTTCTTGACGATAGCGCACTTTCTCTTCTTCTTTTTTCCTTGTGCTATTCAGCTGGGGTCGTCGTGGTGCTCGAATATTAGCTACCTACCTAGGCGAATAGTTACCTAGCGCTACCAGTGAGAGGTACCTGTGGAAATACAGCCCCAAAAAGGTGACTTTGTCCCTAAAAATACCAGACGGGCCTGCGCGAAAGAACGGGAACGAACTTGGCCGCGGACGCCAGACTTGTTGAGCGCGGGTGGGGTTTAGCAAGGTACCTTAGCTACGGCTACCTGACTGAACAGGTACTTACCACACTACCTACATGTGGGCTGCTCGTCGACCGGACGGGGGAGAGGGTCGAGGGGCTGAGGCCGACCGGATGGGGGGCTACTGCCGCTACTTCGTAGAGGAAAGGGCCAGGCCAAGCTGTCCATTTTGGACCTTGCAGTGGGCACGCCTTAGAGGCACGGGGGAGCGCCGAATTTTTCTGTCATGACCAAACGCTCAGCCTGGTGGGTTTGGCCCGACTTGGTTTGGCCCAGTCCTCATTAGCAGACCACGATGTTGTACAAACATGCCTTGGACTGATACAACATGCAACGATTCAGGGCAGTGGCCAATACTTGAATCTTATACACCTTGGGCACACCAGCAGTGCGACCAGAAGCCTTGGACGGATGTCGGACGGAATTCAGTGAGGATGGAACAGGCTTCGCATACGATTTTGGACGGAAGGCGATTTCCTGACAGGGACGCCAAGACTTCGTTGCTTCTTCGTCCGTACCATTTTCTTCTTATGTGTTCAAACTCTCTTGTTCTTCTCCTTCATCTACCCATGTCTATCCATGCATCCAACATATCTCACCGTCTTCTCACTATGCTAACTATCAAAGCATCTCACGATGCCTTCACCCTGCCTAGCATACTAACTCTTATCCTCCATCACTGAGGTCATCGCAGAGCCAGCAAGCAGGGGCTTACAAGTCACAACTGGAAACTACTTAGTACTACATGTGCTAACGCAACTCGACTCAACTCCGACAGGGGTGTTAAGGGCGCCAAAGGAGGACACCACCTCTATCCGCAGGGGGCCGTGGTTGGCAGCAAACTCCCACGACTCCCCCCAAAGTCTCCCCAAGTCTCCAGGCCTTCTCCTCCTGGAGTGTCAGTCTTGAGGGGCGGTTCCTTGGTTAGTCTCGTCCTCGATCCACGCTGAGCCCATGAACCCCTGAACGAAACGGACTGCAGTCAGCAGAGTACAGCCTACAGGAGACTCTCGCTCAACCTTCAAT